GGCTAAAGCTGCGTTCGTGCAGAATGAGCTAAACTGCTGTGAAGATTAGGGTTCACTGCTGATGCTCGACAGGTATTCCAGAAAAACCAACAGTGGTATCCGGATAGCCGTCCTTTCTGGACAAGCTATCTGATGTTCGAACTTGAACAACCTACCAGTGCAGAAACTGAGGACGTGCAATATCAACGCATTAAGCAAGTGTTGAGCGAAATTCGATCGAAGAGCACCCTCCAGCCCGCGATTGTAAAGGAGCTTGTCCAAATTTATATGTTATACTTGCTAGAACGTGGATCGAACGAATCTGCGAAGGAGTATATGACTCTGGACCGCGAGATAAATGGACCCCAGTCCGTTCAAGCGTTGATGAAACCATTGGTCGACAAGGATATCCAAGTTAGTAAAGTTACTGTCAACCCGAATGGAAGTCAAGCCCCTCCATCCACGGAACCCACCACCCAGCAAGCTCAAGTCCCGTACGGCAAACAGTATCAGCAACCACCAGAGAGACCTATTTCGTCTAATGGGAGTGTATAACAGCCTTTACTAGCCTCATCAAACATGGTTTTTTTGTTGATAGTTTCAACAGTTTCCAGCACCAGGCTGTGATTTTCGTGTGTAATTTCATGATTTCATCATATATGGCTCCCGCTGGCACACATCTCTTCCAGATTCTCTATCTCCTCGCAGAATTGCGGAACAATTCCTCTGTTTTTTCTTTTTTTTTTTTTTTTCTTTTTCTTTTTTAGATTCGGCGGCTCGGAGGCAAAAACTGTTGACAGCGAGTTTTGCTGGGAAACGATTAACGGCTTTAACTAACGTACCGGGTCACATCAGACTATCAGTTTCGGGTACCTGCTGCAATGCTACTATGGGGGGATGGTCTCCGATTCAATGATTGGATGGAGGCAGATGTATTTTATTTATATGTTGAGGTTTTTTATGCTTCTTATCTTGCTTTTCTCTTTTATGCTTGGTGGATTCCGGAACTTTACGCGCCTCTGAACTATTTGGAGGAGCAATTGTTCGTACGGTAGTTTGAAATGTAGAACATTTGAATTTTTCCAAAGCTGAAATTGGTTGAAAGTTTTCGAAAGGAAGAAGACCTTGTCGTAGTTGGGTTTTCTGATTTCTGTATAGCAAGTTTTGCCCTGGTGGTGATTGAGCTCTTTTGTCCTAGTGGCCTAGTAGTTTTCAGAGTACGCTGACTAATACGCTGCTTATCATGTTTTCCAGACAGAACGCCAACGATGTAACTGAGAGCTTCAATTCTGAGAAGAGCACCTGTTATTTGGCAATAACTATGGATTGGATCGCTGAAAATAGACCCCCTGGACCACCCCCGGAGCCCTTTGAACGCTCTCCTACACCACCTCCGCCGCCACCCGTATCGCTGGTGCCGCCTCCGCCACCAGATGCCGCTGCTCCTCCTCCGCCCCCGGATTCAATAGCTCCTCCTCCTCCTCCTCCCGAAGATGCGCCGCTTCCCGAGCCGCCTGCAGCTAAGAGAAAGAAGGTTGGCTGGGGAAGTCAGCGGTCAGCGACGCCTCTGAGTGTTGAGGAACTACTCCGAAAGAAGCGGGAAGCTGATGAAGCTGCATCAAAGGTACGTTGAAACTGAACTGTGCACCGTCACATTGCGCCATTTCCCTCTCCTTTTCCTACGGGTGCATTTGTTTACAGTGAGCATTTCAATTGGTTCGGATATATATTTTCCCTCACAGTGAAGATGGAAGTTGGTTACTGACTGCGTTGTTACCTTAAATTTTCTGTGTCTAGCCTAAATTCCTCACAAGAGCAGAAAGAGAGAAGCTCGCATTAGAGAAACGCGCGAAAGAGGTGGAAAATAAAAAGCGACTGCAAACAAACGGCGCCAGGCCCTCGCCTCGAAATTCTGAAACGAACGGTTATAATTCTTCAGCATCAAGAAGTGATGGAATTGATGGATCTTCCCGGGCCCCAATTCCCACGGGGCCCCGTGGCATGAGACACGGAGAAATCCCAACTGCTCCAGCCGCGATGCGCACGAAACAAAATGATATGCCTCCACCTCCCTCTCCCGGTCAGAAGGCTGAACAAAAGGGAGAAAAGCGGCCTTCTCCAGAAGAAGCACAAGCGGCCTTGATACGACAACGATATATGGGAAGTGACCAGACGTCGAATTTCTCTGCGAAGAAAAAACGGAGGAGGACAACGGAAAGGAAATTTAACTTCGAGTGGAATGCGGATGAAGATACTAGCCCCGATTACAATCCACTCTATCAAAACCGTTCGATTGCAAATTTCTTTGGTCGAGGTCGCTTAGCTGGGTTCAGTGACGAATTTGCAGATGCGGTTACAAGAAACTACGCAAGAGCTTTAGAAGATAGAGATCCGGAGGCTGGTAGAGCCAGAGCGAGGGAGATTTTGGAAATGGAAAGAAGAAGGAAAGAAGAAGGGGGACGGCATGCCTTGGATGCACATTGGTCCGAGAAGAAGTTGGAACACATGCGCGAGAGGGACTGGCGAATATTCAAGGAAGATTTCAACATCAGTACCAAGGGAGGAAGCATTCCCAATCCCATGCGGTCGTGGGCCGAATCGGGATTACCAAAACGCCTTCTTAGTATTGTTGAGCAAGTTGGATACACCGACCCGTCGCCTATTCAGCGAGCTGCTATCCCTATTGCGTTGCAAAATCGAGACCTTATCGGTGTTGCTGTGACTGGTTCCGGAAAAACTGCAGCATTCTTACTCCCTCTGCTCGTCTACATAGCAGAACTCCCACGACTAGATGAGTTTGAATGGAGAAGAAATGACGGTCCGTATGCGATAATCCTAGCGCCGACACGCGAATTAGCCCAACAAATCGAAATCGAAGCTAAGAAGTTCTCTGTCCCTCTTGGATTCAACGTTGTCAGTATTGTCGGTGGTCATTCGCTGGAAGAACAGGCTTACAGTTTGCGCAACGGGGCGGAGATCATCATCGCCACCCCCGGCCGTTTGGTAGACTGTATCGAGAGACGGATGATTGTCCTTAGTCAATGCTGCTACGTTATCATGGACGAAGCCGACCGTATGATTGATCTCGGCTTTGAGGAGCCTGTGAACAAAATCCTCGACGCTCTCCCCGTCACAAATCAGAAACCGGATACTGAAGACGCAGAAAACGCCCAAGCAATGAGCCGACATATCGGCGGCAAAGACCGATATAGGCAAACGATGATGTATACCGCCACCATGCCTTCTGCCGTCGAGCGAATTGCACGCAAATACCTCCGACGGCCCGCGATCGTCACAATCGGCAACATCGGCGAAGCCGTTTGACACAGTTGAGCAGCGCGTCGAATTTCATCTCCGGGCGAAGACTAGCGTAAGAAGCGACTAGCAGAGATCTTATCATCGCGAGAATTCCGCCCACCAATCATCGTCGTCGTCAACATTTAAGCGCAACTGCGATGCTGTCGCGCGCGATAATCAAAAACTTGGGGCTATTCCGTCCGTCACCGTTTGCATGGGAAGCAAGACGCAGGGATCAGCGTGAGCTGCCCTGGCGTCCGTTCGGAAAGGAAATACCGACGTGCTTGTTGCAACTGACCTGGCTGGACGCGGTATTGACGTTCCGGACGTTAGTCTGGTGGTTAACTTCAACATGGCGACGAATATTGAGAGTTATACGCATCGTATTGGTCGTACTGGACGTGCTGGGAAGAGTGGTATTGCGATTACGTTCTTGGGCAACGAGGATTCTGATGTCTTGTATGGCTCACTTTTCCCCCTCTCCCCTTTTTCCTTTTGAGTTTTCTTTGCTCGATTAACAACAGTACGCTTACCAATATTTCAACCAGATACGACCTCAAACAAATGCTTATGAAATCCTCTATTTCCCGCGTCCCTGAAGAACTCCGTAAGCACGAGGCCGCCCAGTCGAAGCCCGTACGAGGTGGCTCCGCGTCACAGAAGAAGATCGAGGAGAGCAGTGGCTTTGCCGGGAAGGGAGGTGGAGCTGGGTGGTAAATCGGAGGAGTTCTCTCCTCAATCCATGTGCCTTTTTCCACGCTTGCGTCGCGTCATAATCTGTTAAGGCTTCTTTTCTAGTTCTTACTCTTAGCCCACTAGGCGCTCTCGATGCAATGTAGCGGGGCTTATGACATGGTATATCTCATGTATATTATTATGAAGCCAACTTGACGAACTTGTCAATAGGGTATTAGGGACAAGATGAATATATTAAAGCACGATCAAACAATCAAAATAAGGAATGGAAATATGTCATACTCTTTGGATAACTAGTGTATTAACAATAACAAACTTATTATCTTCGGAATTGCATGGATTGATTTATATTTCTAAACGCCAATGAAGTAAGTATAGTGAACAGAGAGGGGATTCGAAAATGGGATGCAAGTCTAAACGGTCACGCAGAGTGGGATTATCAATTCCACAAAACTCTCGATTTTGCAATACAATAGGGATAGCAGCTCGCTGAATAGGTGACGGGTCGGTGTATCCAACTTGCTCAACAATACTAATTTGCATCAAAGTAATATTTCCTCTTGGCATGCTCCCCAGGACATAGTGAGCACCTTCCATTGACCGCCATGACGAAAACTACCTCATGTAAATGCAAATTAAGTTACTTTGAGTTCATGTACCCGTTTTTTGAGAGCCAGTCCTCAACATCAGCGCGATCGCGTTTAAGCCAACCAGCCTTAGCATAGAGGCTGTCAAGACTTTGTTGAAGGGAACGATCAAATCCCTATTGTACCGGTGGTTAGCGAAGTGTCATATTTATATTTGAGGCCTAATACCGAAGACGATGAGGAGCGACGAACCTTCTGATCCTTGTCCTTAAAGAAAGAAACGACGTCCTGGATTTGCGCATCTGTCGACAAGCTCCCTGTGCAAATTTGCACCACTGAGCCTAACATACTAAATTCGGGAGGCAGTCGCTTGGTAACTGCTTCCCAATTCTGCTTAAGCCATGCCCATCTGGCAGTGATACCGTTTGTGTGCCCGCGTAGGCCAGATAGTGGCATATAGATGTCTTGAGCTCTCACCTCGTCCGACAAGCAAAGGGAGAGCGTCTTTTGGATTAATTCGCTGTTTTCTGCACTACCCAACGTGCGGAGAGCTGTATTTTTTTCGGCTGAAGTTGATGCAACGCGGTACCATTCAAGCACGGCGTTGTATTCTTTTTCCCCACCTTCTCGAAGAACAATATCAAAAACACTTCCCCGAATGTTGGGATGGATGGCCGACCGATCACCGCTTGCAAACCGGCTAAACATATCCTTCGCAGCCGCCACAACCTTCTGGTCTCCAGATGATCCAGCAGCGCTAAACATCAGTGCTTTGAATTGCTGGAGCACGTGGTCATCACTCGCGGAGAACGACCACCCAAGCGAATGAGCCTTTACAGTCACCAGAGAGCGCTGTAGCTCCTTTAATGCATCTTTGGTCTTGCTATCTTCAAACATCCATGCGCCACGGATCGAACCAATACGGGTGAGGATTTCATTCCATACAACATATTGTGGCTCGGTGTCAAATCCAACTAACAGAGAAAGTATGCCAGATGTTTTCTGATAACCAGAAGAAGCCAGTGCCCCCGCATCAGCGATCATTCCGGCCCTGTCTTCCACAGTTAAAAGTCCGTCTTTGGCGGCCTTCCCCAGTTTCCGAAGGCGTTCTGGACTGTAAGAGGTTCGATATATACCAGAGTGATCTGCATTGACCTTGAAGAAATCAAGATCTGGGACCTTGAACTCTGCTTCCCGGCTAGTGAGCATTAAGGCTTCGTTAATTCCCTCACGAGTCTTCAAACCCAGCATCACGGGGAATATGGTCTTGTCCTCTTCTGGTTTGACGTCTCCAGTTCTCAGAAATCGATTCTGTTTCACGGAAATCGAACTCTTGCTGGCGTCTTCCGTAACAGTAATGACTGGAAATCCGACATTTTTAGTCCAGATGTCCATTACCGACTGGATAGGTTTACCATTGCTTGCTCCGGTTAGTGCTTCCCACAGGTCAGCAGTCTTGGTGTTTTTGTAGGCATGCTTCTGGATATAGTCTCTGACACCCTGGATGAAATTTTCTTCTCCCATATATTTGGAAATCATTCTGAGCACAGACGATCCCTTCGAATAAGAGATAGCATCGAAAATCTGGCTAATCTCATCAGCACGATAGACGGGAACCTCCACAGGATGGCTGCTCCGCAGCGAATCAAGAGACAAAGCCATTTGAAGGTTGTCGATGACATAAGATTCCCAGACCTTCCACTCAGGATAGAAGACATTGCATGAGTACCAGGACATCCATGTGGCAAAGCCCTCATTAAGCCAGAGGCCATCCCAGAAATCCATAGTGACGAGGTTCCCAAACCATTGGTGTGCCAATTCATGTTGCACTGTCTCGGCAATACGTTGCTTGGCAGCGGCGCCCGCAGAACTCTCGTCGTACAGAACATCCACGATACGGTACGTGATCAAGCCCCAGTTTTCCATCGCGCCAGCAGAAAAGTCTGGCACAGCAACCATGTCCATCTTGGGGAGAGGGAACTCGCTACCAAACGTCTTTTCATAAAACTCGAGGGTCTTTGCCGCAAGATCAAGGGAGAACCTTCCGTGTTCAATATTCTGGTCGGGAGGGGCATAGACGCGGATGGGAACTCTGAAATTCTTGGTTTCAATATAGTTAAGTTCACCAACGATGAAGGCAACAAGATATGTTGACATCAGCGGTGACTTGGTGAATTTGACTGCTTTTCTCATGCCCCCTGTGATCTGCGAAAGTACTTCCGTCTCCGATGCAACATCCATGTTGCTCAAACATGTTAAATTCTTATCCGCTATCAGGGTGACAGTGAACTGCGCCTTCAGCGAAGGTTCATCGAAGCAAGGGAACGCCCTTCGAGCATCCGTAGGCTCCATCTGACTGGAGGCCATATATTTGTTCTCGCCATTCGCACCCTTGTAGGAGCATCTATAAAACCCAGCCATGTTATCATTCAGTTTGCCCTGAAAGGTAATATTCAGTTGAGCTATTCCTCCTGCCTCAATTGTCTTCTCAAAGCTAATAATGGCAGTTTGTTTTTTCACGTTCAAGGAGATCGCAGGGTTGGAAGCCGTCAAGACTCCATTAGCGGAAACAGTGCAAGTTTGGATTTCGATATCCGTGGAATTGAGGGAAATCGAATTGGTGTTTTCGACAACATCAAGACTGTTTTGAATCAAATTGCAATCAGCAAAAATCCCTCATGATGGTGACCTTTTTCTTTTTCTTTTTTGTGTGTTTTTCCGGGGAAACATTTCTTCACGTACTCTATGATAACGGTACCTCTGTAAGTAAAGTTGCTGAAATCCGGCTCCAAGGTCAAGTCATAATGCAATGGCTTGACATTAGTTGGGAGGATCTCCCGGGCAGCCATCGCCGTGGCTCCACCAGCAACATCGTCGCCTTGTCTTGCGAGACACATCCTTCTAGAAGAGCAGTACCTCTTAGCCTGAATTGCAAGGGTAGTACGAGGGGTGAATCGAGATCGAAGAGGGACGGGGAACGCTGTAAGAGGAGTTGCAAGAGTTGCAGACGTACTTGATGAGGTTGTTGTAGGTGTTGTTGTTGTGGTTGACAAAAGCCGCGCTCGACACTCGAAATGGGGAAGTCGTGGAGGAAGAGTCTGTTCGGAAGCAACGGAGGTACAAAGTTGTTTTCTCTTTGCGATGTTCAGGATCGACCGAGCGTTCCTGGAACTGAGGGAAAGCATGGACTGCTGCGATGCGGGGCAGGGCGGGCAGCCGCGACTATATACGAGGACGAGGACGAGGGCGAGGGCGGGGGCGGGGGCGGGGAGACGAGGGCTTCTTCCAGACGGAGGGAAGCCAATGAGCGCAAGACAGCCCTGGTTGAGCTAAGATCGATTCAACCGCCTACTGCAGGCCCGTGGTGGGCACCGAAACTCACGCTGGCGAAATCAAAGCTGACAGTAAATACGCAGCAGAGCAAGCAGCAGGGCCCCGGCGGATAGAAGACAGCCAAGGTAGATTTTTTGTAGAAAGCTTCAACTGCGGCGCTGTGGAGCTGGCGGGACGGTTTTTAATTTTAGATATAAATTCTGAAGTTGAGTTAGCTTTGCCGGTAACTACACGCTAACTTGCTGCTTAGTCATTGATTTGTTTTCTCTTCCACCACCAGACAGATTGCGAGAAGTTGGATATCATTCCAGCAGTTCAAGTCAGTGGCCACACGTTGGCCTGCTCAGTCCTTTTATATTTTCTGCAAATGGG